ACTCGTCACCCTGATCACTTTGGTATATATAACCCTATATCTGACTCTTTTAGTTTTAGGACTTACAAACAACCGTTATGTGAACAAAACTATAATATTCTCTTTAGCAACTTTGTTGCGAGAGTATAAAAATGATTTTTTGAAATGCTTCGAAGATTGGAAAAACCGTTAAGTGTATAATATCTCATGGGAATTACTTTTAAGGGGACATATTAGATATTCATGAATAAATAAATAATTTTTGAAAAAACACAAAATTCGCGATACTTTTTGAACACACCTCGTATATATACATGTATGTATATGTCAATAACCTTCAGTCTGTCTTTCCGTTCGTCAGTCTGTTTTTGATATATCGATCTAAAATTTTGCACACGTCCTTTCCTCCCAAAGGAAATGCTCATTTGTCAGAACCGCCGGTCAGTCTACTATAACATATAGCTGCCACACAAACTGAAAGACCGGCATCAAGTTCTTATAAGTTCCATTGTATTTGTGAAGATTATTTAACTTCGTGAACGTGTTGTTTTGTTTAATATTTGCCGTATGGTTCAAGGTGAGTGCGTCGTCTTGAATTCATAGTTTTTTTTTTTTATATTCTATCGGTTAATGTTTTTGTGTCGAAAGGCAAAAACAACGTAAAACATTCCGTTATCAAATTATAGTTTTGCCAAAACTTATGTAAAATGCCTTAAAGTGAAAAAAAAAACAGTAAAACTCTCATTTAAGACACGAACAGCGTGGCCAGGTTGTACATATTATAAAAGAAAGACTACAAGCGTTTTAATTACTTCCTCAAATACAACTTGTGTATCAACCTTGTGGCATTGCTCAAAAGTATACATCCCTTTACTCTAAGCACACCTGTTGCCCTTTTAATTACACATCCTTAAGTCACATGCCTTCAGATTCAAAGTCACTCAAAGTTCCTCTTTTACTTTTAATTATTGTCACTTTTCCACTTTTCTAAATCCTTGCCCGCCCTTCAAGAGTTATGAAATTAACAAGCCCGTAGAAAGCAAAGTTATTATAAATCGCAGGATAGGCAGAGTGCGGAAACAATTCAAAAACTTTACAAGGACTTCAAGTGAGTGCGTGTGTGTAAAGCAACGGTAAACTCAGTGAGCCGTTGTGAGCATTTTTTTAATTTCTGCTCCAGTAGCATGGCATTCGCATTGTTGTTGCATGACTTCCTGTTTTTTATTATTTTTGCTCTGCTTTTGCTTAAAACTGTTTAAAGGTTTTAAGTAAACTCTTCTCACCGATATTGTCATACCTTAAAGGCTTTAAATTACCTTACTTTTAAAGAAACAAATTACGAGCTTAACAAAGTAATAATATAGTTTTAAATTTTATGAAATGAGCAATCGAGAAGCTTCTCACGGATGCCCAGGCACAATCAATGTGCAAATAACTGTCAATATCACATGAAGGAAATTGTCGTTTGATATCGGGGCCAACCCAGACAGGACTTTCCATATTACAATATTATTCACATTTAGAATTGAAACATGCTTCACAGCACATCTATGAAGATGTGTTTGTCGCGCTTTGTCTGCATAAAATATATATTTACCGAATTAGAAATTCAAAAATCGTTTTTTGGTCTTGCACTTGTTAGGCATTTGGCAAATTTTGTTTGTTTAGTCACATTGGTCTAAGCACGTCTTTTGGATTGAATGAAATATTCTCGTAATTTACTTTTATTAATCAGTTACGCTATCATCGCTTGATCAAATCTATAAACACATGAAGCATTTAGCCAAAAGCTTTTTCAGAAATTGATATAAAACCTTAGCAGAAAAGGCAACACAGCGTAATGAATGTCCCGGTAGAAAGGTAGATGCTTTGAGACAGAAGCGGAAAAGAGAACATTCAGAATAGTGCACCTTACTTTCACGTTCACAGGGCCAATTGTTATCATCAGCCACACGAAATTATGCGGAAAAAATAAATAACAGCCTCAAAAGCTTATTTCTCATAAGACCCAATGTGACGGTGTCGATGGAAATACAGTCACAGCCAAAGCAAATATTAAAAAGAAAAAACGCCAAAATTAAACACAAACATCATCTCAGAAAAAACTGAGACTAACAATCCTGAAGCGTATTCTTTAAGTGCCACAAATTAGTTATACCAAATAATTTTAATTTCTAAAAGCGCCAAATAATTTAGAACCAACGACTTTTGCTTCGTACGTTTAAAATTTCTGATGACGCTAATGTCGCTGTTCTCCGAAAGGCACGTTGCGGATCCTTGTTTTATTTTTCACTATCACAACGGATATTTCCAAAATTTTAAATTTTTTCTAGAAGAAGAGCAATCGACCACCGCCTGCTTAATAACTGCACTCAGTGAAGTAGCACTACTTCCCCTTCCCTTCTTATCTCAACCACTTATTTGCACTTACTCAACACTTTCCCATCACAAGCGCACTTTAATACGTCTTTTGACTACAAATAGATTATTTATGAATAAGTCAATAGTATTCCTCAGCCGCGCACAATCTGTCTTGTGAGATTTTTTCTGCCTTTTCTGGGCTTTTGCTTAAATTCTTTAATATCTTCTTTTAATTTTACCTTGCTAATTGCTGCCAAATTATAACATACTGGCTCGTTCAGGTCCACGCTTAAAAATGTACTGAGGTAAAAGCCAAGTGCCAGCCGACTAACCGGAAGCGGAAGGGCAGACGCGACCATCGCAGATGCATAAGGTGTATGCAAAGGCAGCGCTGCTCAAAATGCTGGTTTATGCGCTTGTGTTGGTGCTGTTGCTGCTTTTGCTGCATCCTTGAACACAGCAATGATGGCCACGTGCTCTCTCTCGCGGTAAGCGATGCAGCAAGCGCAGCATTTACCGGGTTTCTGGTTTCAGCGTTCTCTGTCTGCGCTTTGTCGTACTGTTAAAGTCGTTGCTGTTAAAATTATCAGAAGTATTTACAGGAAGTTTGCTATGCTGTTTAGGCGACGGTGACATTGCTTGCTTTCAGGCGACCCAGTGTTTATGCTTTAAGCCAGTATTGAATGAAGTGATACATTAAAGAGAAGAGAAGCGAATGAGTTCTCATAATGGACTACTTTCTACCCAATTATAAAGTTGTACTAAATTTTATGACCATGCTCTCATCTCTCGTTTTCTCGTTCTCTTATTATCAGCTCAAACACGTGGTAGGCAAACGCATCGGTTACGAGCGCAGTAACAAACACTTCAAATGTAAACAAAGAACCGTGAGTTACATACGAGGTCACGTGTTCCTAGAAAAACTCAGAGTATATAATGGAGGTAGGCAGTTTTCTTTGAACTCGAGTAAAGCGATTTATATTGGGGTAGGCGAGGCTGTCTTTTTTGAGAAAATAGTTCAAGGATGCAATGAGGTAGTAGTAAACGGATTTTCACGATTGTAAAATGAACGCAGAAATAACACTTAAACTGAGATGTTCTAAAATCGTCGAAATAATATTTGAAATTATCGGATCAAAGGAGATGATAAACTAAACTATAATAATATAAATAAATAAAAAGCTTAAGGGGTAGCCCCCTTTAGAAGCTTCAAAAAAAAAATTTTTTTTTTTTTGCTTAAATCTCTTTAAAATAATCCAAGAATATGTCCTCAAAGTTATAGATGGGAATTGGAAATATTTTCGAAACTAGAAGGGAAATAGTGGCCAAGCGTCGAGCAGATATATAAGCGCTTGGGCAGAAAGCGAAAACTTTGACTAGCGATTTCTCGGGTTTTCATTTATACAAATTTTCTTAAATGGTGGACAGGATAGAAAAAACCTAAACGCTAAATTATCTTTGGCATTAAATTATCTTCTATTTAAACTAAAAAAAAGAGAAAAGTCAAGTCACACATATTTTTAAACAACATAAAACCTATTTTTTTTTTTTTTTTGGTCAAAAACCACTTTTTTTCAATTTATAAAAGAAATTTTAAATTTTTACAATTTGTTTGGGAATTTTTTTAGTTGAACCAGAGGATAAATTATTATAAAATATGAATCTCTTTGAATATTTTCTTTCCGACAGAAATTGCGATTTTATGCTGAACAAACTGAATCAGATTCATCAATGTGTTATAAAGACAATCTGTTAATCTCGAAAATGTGCCCAAAATCTTGCGCAGAACAATAATGTGGTCTTTAAAATTTAGATAGCTCAATGCCTCTGTGTAAACCTCAACATTACTTCCAGTTTTCTGAAATAAATGCATGGACGAGCGACTGACATAGGTATACTTTTTAACTCCTCGCTCCTTAAAATTTTAAGTGCCTCTTATAGTGTCTTACTTTTTCAACAGATTTTTTCAAATAAGAAAATTTAATTAAATCGCCAAAGCTAACTTTATTTTTTAACAGAAATTTGTGGCAAAAGTCAAAAGTGAAATAAATAAATGAATATTGCAGAAATTAAAAATGCACCAATGTCACTCACATACGTTCATATGCAATAAAAAAAAACATCAACATGGAAGTAATTTCACTTTCATTTAATATCTCGGTGTTTGCAGCCAAAGCAAAGACTTTGTCATGGAAATAGGAAATGACAGTAAGAATCAAAACAGCTGAAAACAAATGCCAAAAACGTTTGTATGTATGCACATTTACATATGTATACAAATATTATCAAAATAATCTTGAAAACATTTGTACATTCATTATTCGCTTGTGTCCTTTGTGTTAGAGAATTTGAGCTGGAACTAGTTTCCTTTCAAATAAAACATATGTATATGAACATGCAAACTGAATGTCAGGAATCTAATTCTGGTATGTGAAACTTTCGCATATTGAGAGTATCCTCCTTTTAACCGGTCATTTACCTTAATCCACAAAACTTCGACAGACCTAATGCTCAATGTAGCCTAATGCGAAAGAAGCAAGAAGAAGGAATCTCAACTACATGAATTCGAAAACAAAGAGCTATAGCAGCATGTAACTGTACAGTGGCAAAAAGTTATATAATTCAACTACTGACAGGAAACAAGCGACAAGGTGACAAGCACTGAGCAGTTGTAAAAAAGTTTTTATTGTCAATAATGACGGTGGAAAAAGGAATAAGAAGGAGACTGCATGTGTGTACAGATTTTTAGGGGCTTAGTTGGGATACAAAAGTCTTTAAGAAGGTCAATCAAAGCTTTTGTCGGCTCGTGTTGATGGATTCTCAGCTCCAGACACTCTATGCATCATAAAACAGGCACGTGACTAGCATAAAAAATCTGCGAATATATTCATTTCTTTTTAACACGTATCTAGATGTATGCTTTTTTCTAAATACAGGCTCAACATATGATAGAACACATGTCTATAAAAGAATATACTTGCAAAAATTTACCCGACAAAAAGTCCTTTCCTGTGAGCATTTTATGAATGGCTGGAATGGCATCTACTCGAAATACAACATAACAGGCCGACGACAAACCATAATAAGCACGATATTTACGGATTCACTTACTTGGACTATTTAATATTCAGAGCATTGCCACACCGGATATTTAAAACAAATAATACTTTCATGTTGACTATAAATTGGTTATGGCTAATGTTAGTTGAGCCAATAATTATATATACAAAGGCATTAATATTATTTCCAAGTGCCTTCTTTACTATATCGTATATATTCAAATGATATCTTCAATTTTCAAATAAATTTTTCCATACAAAAGCATACAATTCATGTAATTTTCAGTAATACATATAATTCTTGTGCTCATATACAATATATACATATGTGTTTAAGCTTTTACATATACATACATATTTCCACTCTTCGGCTCATTGGCCAAAGGTAATCAACGGAAACTACTGGAAACGAATACTTCCCGTGTTATGGTTATTTTCACTTTCATCGCTTACTACTTTTCATTTTTTCTCCTTTTGAATTGCCTACCACAGAACACCTTGTAAAGGGCAGCAAATGAAATATAACAAGTAAGGAAGCGCTAAGTTCGGGTGTCACCGAACATTTTATACTCTCGCATCAAATACCGTATTTGTGTAAAGTTTTATTCCGCTATCATCATTGGTTCCTAATAGATATATTATACAGAGAAGGCATCAGATGGAATTCAAAATAGCGTTATATTGGAAGAAGGCGTGGTTGTGAACAGATTTAACCCATATTTCGTACATGTCATCAGGGTGTTAAGAAAATATTATGTACCGAACTTCATTGAAACTCCACGCCCATTTTCAATTTTTAAAAAAAGCCTACGTGCAGCTTCCTTCCGCCATTTCTTCCGTAAAATTTAGTGTTTCTGACGTTTTTTATTAGTCGGTTAACGCAATTTTAGTGATTTTCAACATAACCTTTGTATGGGAGGTGGGCGTGGTTATTATCCGATTTCTTCCGTTTTTGAACTGTATATATAAATGCTGGAAGGAAACGACTGTATAGAATCTGGTTTACATAGCTATAGTAGTTTCCGAGATATGTACAAAAAACTTAGTAGAGGGCGGAGCCACGCCCACTTTTCCAAAAAAATTACGTCAAAATATGCCCCTCCCTAATGCGATCCTTTGTGCCAAATTTCACTTTAATATCTTTATTTATGGCTTAGTTATGACACTTTATAGGTTTTCGGTTTTCGCCATTTTGTGGGCGTGGCAGTGGGCCGATTTTGCCCATCTTCGAACTTAACCTTCTTATGCAGCCAAGAAACACATGTACCAAGTTTCAGCATGATATCTCAATTTTATTAATCTTACTCAAGTTACAGCTTGTACGGACGGACGGACGGACAGACAGACATCCGGATTTCAACTCTACTCGTCACCCTGATCACTTTGGTATATATAACCCTAGCTGAGCAGCTTAAGATCGCAACGCTTAAAACTCCCTTGCCTTTTAAGACTCGGCTAATTCCGCTCGTTCGCGGATTGCGCCCCTCGCGTCGGTTGAGGAGGGTAATCGTTGGGTATTATTATTATATCTGACTCTTTTAGTTTTAGGACTTACAAACAACTGTTATGTGAACAAAACTATAATACTCTCTTTAGCAACTTTGTTGCGAGAGTATAAAAATGGAAGGGAGCGAAATAAAGTCAGATGAGGGAGAACCTAGAGCCTTAAGCTTTCCTGCTATACTTCAAAGAAAATAACGAACCCAGAAGCAATATCCTCCATCACTGTAAATGTTCAATAGTCATTGCAATCTCTCGACCTGAAGTGATGGCTGCTTGTATTCTATAATCAGCAGTTTTACCACCGTCTCATGCATGAAAAAAACTTGCTCTAACTTGTTTATTAGTTGTTTCAACGAAAAATTTCTGACAAGTATTAACAATACTAGAGACAGTTATCTACTCAATTTGACATCGTAAAATAGGTACCTTACTTAAGTCTACAATGATTAATTTACCTTTTCTCAGTTGCCGCGGTTCCTACCTAAAATATCGCTTATCGTCTAACGTCGGTTTCGTGTGTTTTTGATTAAACACCTGGTTTTCTTTATAAGAACCGCCTATATTTTCATAAAGTTTGTCAACTTTTATTATATCAGTTCCGACTCGACCCCATTTTGATCCATTGATACTCACATACAAAACCGTTGTTAACGGCTTCCGAAAATTGCCACACTTTTCACCCAACTGCCTCATGCAACCTATGAACTATGAATACATGTG